TCACTCTGACGTCACCGCGCCGCGCATCATTGCCCGAAATACCTGACCGTGACCTCAACCACTGCTTTCTGCGCCTGACATTATTCACGATAAGGAAAGGAATCAGTAGGAAATCAAGTCATCCATTATCGAAGACAGTCACCTTGACCCTTATTACGCGGGCGCAAACGTCTTGGTACAATCTCCACCGACCGAAAACTGTAAAAAGTGGCTTGACATTTAGTTCGTTTTTGCACGACTGAAGCGACGTGCCTCCGTGCCTCGCCAGGGCCGCGCGCCTGCGGGTCTCGGGGTAGGCAGTCCCGCCGGGCAGCCGCGCGCGGCACGCGGCCCAGGCGGTGGGCGGCAGGCGCGTCCGGGCGCGCAAAGCGAAGCAAAGCGGCGCAAGCAATAGTAATAACAATAATAACAACCTCCCCTTTTTTCTCCTCGTTTTTTTTTATTTTTTCGCAGCGTCGTGTCCTTAAAAGCGACCCTAACCCTCCCCACCACCACCATCGCCGCCTGCCGCCTTTACCACTCGCACAAGTCATGCCACCCCTCGCGCGGCCGCCGCCGTCCCGTCCGAGCCCCAAAAGGGTGGCAAGGTCACCGTCTGGAACGACCAGCCCTAGCCCCCTTCCCCCTACCCTCTCCGCAGCCCACACTCTTACGTGCGCGCTGAAACTTTTCCCAGTGAAGCAAGCAGTACAGAACAACAACACACTACTTACTGGACTCTGACATTTACCTTGCGCAGGACGCTTGAGACACTTTATTTTTGATGGAGTGTTTGCTTTATTGAGCTGTGTACGCAGAAAAGTTGTTATATTGTTCCAAACAGTTCCAAGTAATTGATGACAACAGGATGAAATTTACCCTAGAAAAGACGATACTGATATTGTTGTTTTGATAAAATTCTTCTTCTATTCGAATTATAATATCGACTGGTTACCAGCGTAAATTTATGATGATCCTGTGTCAGCACTTGAAATGCTTGAAACAAGAGCCAATGTCCTCGAAACACGAAAAAAATGTACTTGATACAAGAAAGAATTGACTTGAAACAAGAAACACCATTTCCTGCGGGTGTGTTGTGGCGCCATTGATCACCGTGGCTAACGGTATTTTGGCGCCAAGGCCGAAGCGTAGCACGGCCCTGCCCCAAACAATAACGCGTGGAAGTGTGGGGCGATAACAGAAAAGTGTTCAGCACATTTTAACTGAGGCCCCTTCGTCTACTATTTTAAGGTCTATTCTACGACCTGTTGTACCTTTTTATTGCTCTCACGGCCCATACTCATACTCTCCTTTTGTCTGTTCCAGGGACGATGGCCAGCTCTTCAGCAACCTCATGTACGACCGGAGGGTGGTGCGGGGCAACACCTTCGCCCAGCAGTCCGTGCCCGCCGGGGTGAGTCCGCGCGTGAGGTGACACCAGTGACACGGTCACGCCGTCAGCTGACACCTCCAACTCTC